TATATATATATATATATTCACTTAGAAATGTGCGAACACCGATCGAATAGGCCTCCGAACTAAACAAAGCTCATGTGGTGGTCAGAGGTCCCCAACGGGTGACCGTCTGCAAGTTGTATATACATATACAGTTACGAGCTACAGTTGAGCTCGTAGCTCAACTGTTAAGACGTTCGCCCTGACGGGAGAGATCGCGAGTTCAAATCTCGGTTAGCAGCAATTTCAGCGGCAACACTGGGGTTGGGTATGACTAGCCGATGACGCCTAATAAGGCAGAAAAGGCCTTCCTAGTCTCCCATGTCTTTGCTGGTAATGTCCTACTGCCTATATCCTAGCCGCCTTGCGGTGGAGGCTCGAGAGGAAGCTCTAAGGGCAATTATGGACGGACGAGTGGGTCCGCTGACAGATCAGTGTACGCATCTATGCCACTATATATATGGCCTAACTTCATCAACCACTGCAGGATAACCGCATAATATACATATACTGCCAACGGACAGAGATTAGTATAAATTAATGTTGTAATTTAACATACTGGCAGCATGGATACTGGCTAAAGGTGGGCTTTTAGTTGTGCTGCCAGTAGACGGCAGATGACAACATCTTTGTCAATTTCGTAAAACGAAGAACCTAGCTTACCATCAATGGGTTCGGGTAAATTATTCAGATAGGAGGCTGCCTCCGAGGTGCCACGCAGAGCCTGAAGGGCCACAATTTTCAGCGGTATTCTGGACTGTGACAGAGAAGTGAAGAAGACCTGAAGTTGCTGCGCCACCAGCATCATCTGCAGGCTGTCGTGACTGACCTCATAGAAGAATGCAATTTGCTGCCATCCATAGTGTCGCAGAAATATGTTCAGGGAGGTCGCCAGGGTGAGCAACTGTATTGTCATCGAGAGGGTTATCAGGTCTGCTGCCGAGTCGTTGAGGTGATACGAAATATTGACATGGACCGGGGGCTGAACCAGCTTATTCAGGCGACAGTTATAGTGGATCTGATAGAGACCCTCTAGGTCGGCAATATCACCCTGTTGGATCCAGTCAGTCAGAAAGTTACAGTCTGAGGGCAGCGCTGACGCGATCAGTACGGTGAATCCGTTTGGGAATGAGGCGAGATCGTCGGCTTCTTTCAGGGCACTAAGGAGATCGCGTTCATGTACTGACTGCCAAAGACAGCAACCGTTGACTGTCAGGGCGAACTCCTTCACGTCACTTGCGGTCAGCTGCTCGTCAAGCCCTGCAGTGGCATGAAAAATGACAAAATCCACCGTTGCACGGAGATCAAAAATCTTAAACTCTTGCAGACATTCCTGAGGAACGTCCAATCGCACCAACTGTAGTTTGTAGGACATCTGAGCACATCCTTCTTTTAAAAGTGTAAACATGATGCTGAATGCAAGGAATGCAATGGTTTGGGTGTGAGTTGACAGTATATTCCACGGAGCCATCTGGATTGTAGGGTTTCGCAGGTGTGTGTGCGTGTGACGGGCAAATAACAGATAAAACTGCAGTCGTCTACTTTTGCTGCGATACGACCTTTAAAAAAAGAACGTTTGGCTCGTGTTTGCCTCCAGCAGCGAAATGCGTCCGAGTATATACCCCCCACCGTGTGGAAATTGGGCGTTTCCCGGAAGTTTAAAACCACCCAAGCGAGGCAGTTCGCATCTTCAGAATATTATAGAGTGGTTCCAGTGAGAGAAAGCTCGGCACTGGTGGGTTATGTAACGCCCCCTAGCCACCACTAAACGTAGGACTGTGTCTAAAGGGAATGCGGGTTTTTAAAATGGGGCCTTACCGCGGACGAGCAGCGAAATACGTGATAGAAAACAAGAAATCAGTGATGATGAGGAATGCGCGACGAATGAAACGTCAGGCGAATAAACGTATTGTCCCAGCGATCGAGTCGTCTTCTTCTCTAATCAGTGAATTTCCGTCAAATCTCATCTTCAAGGCTTAAAGTTAGCAACGAAATTGAAACTGCTATTTACACATAAATTACCTATCAAAAAATAAAGGGAATTTAAGTAATTAAAACAAATTAAAGCAGCATTCCGCATGCCGTTATATGAATGCAGTATTTATCACGCAAAGGGCTATGCGGTAATCAACCGAATCAGGCCAGGCGATGTATCCTAAACCAAAGGGTTTGCATAACGTACCTTTGCCGAAATCTCACAGAGATTGGTTTCAGAACCATTATCGTGTAGTCGTGCGAGAATGATTACAGGCACAACATCCTATTTGAACAATGCAAAGATCACGAGATTAACAGGGGTTATTGATGTCATATAATTTCGTGGCCTCTTATTCAACTGAAAACAGCCTTTGCCTATTAATAAGGTTATCTGTCATGTGATCAACCTCGCATTGCCGTGGTAACGATCGATAAACTCATGCCCTCTCATGCCTTCTCGCTCCCCTTAGGGCTGACTGCTACCCTACCCTCTGTCACCCCTCCCCGTTAACCACATCCCGCAGGCTTTCCTGAACAGGAACTAACATGAATCGTCATGCTCTGACAACTACCGCCCCCTCCTCTACCCCCTCACCATGCGTCTAAGACTAATAGCTTCTACCTTACCTTCCGAGGTTCATCCTTCTAGGTTGACACTTAATTGCTCATGAAAACCTGTGAGAGATGGTTAAAGTGGGAGAGGGGAAACAGAAGACAGGCTAGCAGTCAGTCCTAAGGGGAATGAGAAGGCGTGGGAGGGAATGAGTTTATCGATCGTTACCACGGCAATGCGAGGTTGATCACATGATCCAGCGGCTTAGAGAGTTCAGGTTTTCTTCTCCGTATTGTAACGGCCCCCGCAAATCGTAGGAGGCGTCCGGTCGTCGACGGAAATACGACCGTAAATGCGGTGTCTACTAAGTGCTTCGTAATTCAACTCTTAAGGCTTTTATTTTCCGCCCTGAGCAACCACTTCGGCATATTTTCGGCTGACCGCGTTGCCAATTGCCTTTGCGTGCGCCCGATGTATGTCCATCCGCAACTACATGTAAACTCGTGTGCAGTTTAATAAGAGGTCGCGAAATTATATGGATGTCAATAAATCATCCTAATCTCGTGATCATTAAACTGCTATTTACACAAAAAGTACCTATCAACAAATAAAGGTAATTTAAATAATAAAGACACTAAAACAGCATTATGTACGCCGTTATTTGAATGTAGTATTTACCACACAAAGGGCTATGCGGTAATCAACCAAATCAGGCCAGGCTATGTATCTTAAACCAAGGGGTTTACATAACGTATCTTTACCGAAATCTCATTGAGATCTTTTCCAAAATCATTATTGTGGAGTCGTGCGAGAAGGATGAACAACGCGAATATCACGAGATTAGCAGGATTTATTGACGTCATATAATTTCGCGACCTGCCAATGGTCATTGCTTTTTAATAAGATAAATCAACCGTCCAATTAAGTGTCAACCTAGAAGGATGAGCCTTGATAGGTAAAGGGAGTGGGAGCTATTAGTCTTAGATGTGGGCGCATGGTGAGGGGTTGAGGAAGGGGAAGGTAGTTGGCCATGGCCATTGATGTTAGTTCATGTTCATTAAAGCCTGTGGGAGGTGGTTAAAGGGGTGAGGGGGCGGAGGACAGGGTAGAAGCCAGTCCTAAGGAGAGCGATTAGGCGTGGGAGGGAATGAGTTTATCGATCGTTACCACGACAATGCGAGGTTAGTCACATTATCCAGCTGCTTACAGTGCTGGTTTTCCTCTCCATATCGCAGCGGCCTTTGCACATCGTAGGAGACTCCTGCTCGGCGCCCGGAGTGCGACCTTAAATGCCGTCCTTTGGTCGACCGTATGGCCAGTGTTCACTAGGCGCTTCGTGATTGAACTCTTAGGTATTTTATTTTCCGCCCTGAGCAACCACTTCGGCATATGTTCAGCTGACCGCATTGCCAATTGCCTTTGCGTGGGTCCGATGTATTTTCATCAGCAACTGCACGTAAACTCGCTTGCAGTTTAATAAGCGGTCGCTAAATTATATGACGTAGATAAATCCTGCTAATCTCGTGATCTTTGCCTTGTTCAAATTTCTTCCGGGAAAACAATATTTCAACAACATTCTCTGTTAGTGCGTCCTATTATATTAACAGGTATTTTCGTCAGCATAATTGTTGCGGAAGTTATCAGGATAAGGCTATGATTTTGCAGTTTCTACACACGTTTTAAGCGATAGACAGTATGCCTAGCTAAGCATGACATTTTTACTGACATTAATGCATGTTCCCAACTGGTTACAAAGCGGACAAACCCTCATCATAATCCTCTGTCCGATAGTATGCTGGTTCTTCCGTGAACCTCCTGTTATTGAGTCGTTAAAACTTCGTCCGTGAAAGGCTTCCGACTTAGATGGTGTCAGGTTTATCAACAATGTTTCCATATTTATGTATCTTTGAAAATTCGTTTTGGCAGACATTTTTTTCGGCCATTCATTATCAAGCCGATACATTGATATAAAGAATAAAATAGTCTGTTATTACAGTGCTTATATGGTTTTCGTGGTGGAGGGGGGGGGGAGCGCTGGCTAGTAATCTCTTCGCTCCCTCGTCTCGTGCACGCCGGAGTCAGCGTTTTGAGGGCGTTTGGGTGCCGAGCGTGGGGGAAGGGAGGACGTTCTAATGGTAGACTGTTTGGGATCTGTATGTCAGAGTCATGGCCTGCGTTCGACTGTTCTACGTGACTTCGGATAGCGTGCAGTTGCCGCCTTTAGTCGGCCAGAAGAGAAAAACCACCTATACCAACGTGTTTTTACGGCAGAGAGCTGGTTCTGCTAAACGGATCGCCACTGCCTCGGTTGTGACTTGACCTTGATGGATTTTCTCCTTTGACTAGCCAGTCCGGTATACGTTCGCGTATCCTCTTCTCTAGACGTCTTATTGTTCGGCCAATATATCTTGGTCCATAGGAACAGATGAATAAATAAATTCGCATGGATGTGGATGGTTGTCGATTTTTACCCCCCATCCCTAGGATAGCAGAGTTTACGAAGAATACGCTTAAGTTCGCCGCCGGGAAAGCATTCATGACGGCTGTCCTTAGGAGTCTTCCTACTAGTTCGCTTGCCGCACTCCCTAGAAAAGTCAGTCTTATTAAAAGGTCTACAGCTCAATGGTAGAGCATTAGATGTAATAGAGCCTTCCCTGTTGTGTGAGTTCGGATACCACCGAGGCCGCGAATTTTTCACAATTCAGTCAAATGAATTATTCAAATCTGCCAAATCCCCTCTCCCTAATATTTATGAACAGTATCCTTTTCTGCCGTTTCAACGCAGACTGTGACATGCTCCTTGATTTTGTGGATTATGAACCTTTCTAGATAGCCATCTTTGTGGAGTGTGTTCTGTAGCTTCTGTAGCTCTTATTCAAATATTTAAAAGAGCAAATGCTTCGTACTCTGGCTGCCAATCCCTGAAAAACTTTCTTTTGAACTAAGGAGGAACAAACTGTGAAAATTAATGTATTGTCCATCCAGGTTTTCTTGCTGAATATCCGGTGTTGTATTGAACCATCTTCTTTTCTGTGTAAGAAGACAGCTAGTAACGTGATTTCGTTGTTCACCACAGTTTCCGCAGTAAATGTTAGTGACGCGTGGGCCTTGTTCAAAGTTAGAAATAAACTATCGATATTGGTGGTATTTAATAGTAGTGAAAATTTGATTCCCAGGCGGTAAGTCAGCAGAAGAAAATAAGTTCACTGGGAGAGGTTTATTTGGTATCTGCAGATAATGAATACTCTGGCTAATGGTTCTCGTCTTTACACAGCTGGTTCTGTCTAAAGGAGAGAACGTCGACTACAGAAGGTTCCCCAAGTCAAGAAGTCAGTAAGACCAAATAGGTAGGACAGTATACTGTGAAAAGGAGCTAAGAGAAGGCTCTGCAGAAACAAGCTGCGCACTTTGAGTAAGCCATTTGACGTGGGTCTGGTCTGTGCGTTCGCGCAGAGGTTACGGGATCTGGGAGCGCCCGCCAGCCAATCAGCAGAAGGTACATAGCTCGCCAGACAAAGAGCAAGACATCAAGTTGACATCGACGCTTCAGGCGACCGACACGCCACCGCAAAGGCATTATGGGTCACGCTGGGCGCTGCGGCGAATTTGGCCATACGC